GAATGCACTTTCCAGCCCCAGGAAGTCATCTGCGTTTCTTTCACCTGACAGAGAGGCTCAGTCCTCTCTGTTTCTTTTAGAGACTGACATTGCCAGTCTGCTTTCTCCTCCTGCCCACAGAAAATAATGATTTAACATTAAAAGGCCAAAGATTTAAATGAAATATCAAGCTGATATGATGCTCACTTTGTACATTATTGTAATAATATTAGTATTTTCTCACACATAAAGAAAAACTCTCCTCCTTGCCTCCCCCAGTTTATCACAGAATTGAAGAATCCTAGTTTGAGCTAGAAAGGATCTCAGGCCCCTCAGAACTGACCTAGATACGATAAATCCTGCTCATATCTGCCGTGCATGCTTTGCTCCAGCTGGGTCAGCTTAGCAGGTGAGCAGAAGGATGCGCATTCAGTGAGCATATCAACTCCAGGGTCTAATACAGCTGACATAAGCCTAAGTTGAAGGTGTAGTTGAGGAATTTTTTCCTGAATTCAGATAGAATCTAAGTATGAAGTCTTAGGGACGTGAAAGCATTCCCAAGAGAAACTTGAATCTTGTTCATATATATTGAAAGATGACTTTTCCTCACGTTATTCAAGAGATTGAGTAAATTAGGAAAATTATGTTCTGACCTCAATTTGAGATACGGTGATTATAGAGCTTCTGCTTAGTTGATAGTTGCAACCAAATTTGGGGGCTAAGGATATCTTTTTTTTTATCTGCATGAGTTAATTTTTGACTATGTGAGACTTTATGGGGGTTGGGGAGTAGGAGAGAGTACACACTGGAGATGGGAAAAAAATCTGTATTATAAAAACATACTAAACATAGAGTTATCATATGACCCAGGGATTATACTCCTAGAGATATATACATATATATGTTCAAGAGAAATGAAAACATACCTCTCCTTAAACTTGTGCAGAAATGTGCAAAGCAGCATTATTCATAACTGACAAAAAGTGAAACAATCCAAATGTCCATCAGCTGGGGAGTGGCTGTAATGGAATAGCATCTGGCAATAAAAAGAATGAAGTACTGATGCATCACAACATGAACAGGCCTTGACAACATGTCGTGTGAAGGAAGCCAGTTACAAAAGACCACACACTGCGTGAATCCATTTATGTGAAATCCAGAATAGGCCAATCCATTAAGACAGAACATAGATTAGTGGTTGGTTAGGGGTGAGTGGGAGTAGAGGCGGCTGGGGGGAAACAGGTAGGAAGTGCTAGTGATTTTGGGGTTTCTTGTTGGGGTGATGAAAGTGTTAAAAAATTGGCTGTGGTGTCGATTGCACAACTCTGAATATATTAAAAATCATCAAATTGTACACTTTCTTTTTTGTAGTGTAAGTTTTTCCTATTTGATGATATTTTAACACCTTTATTATGCTGTGGTTCCTGTACAGTAAACTACACATATGTCAGATGTACAATTTGATGAATTTTGGTAGATGTTTACATCCATGAAACCACCACCACAATCAAGATAGCTAATATTTCCATCATTCTCCAAGAAGTGCAATTTTCAAATGCCCAATTTATTCTTTCCCACCTCCTTTATCCCCTGGTAACCATAAGTTTGTTCTCTGTGTCTGTGAGTCTGTTTCTGTTTTGTAGATAAGTTCATTTGTGTCTTTTTTTTTAGATTCCAAATATAAGTGATACTATATGGCATTTTTCTTTCTCTTTCTGGCTTATTTCACTTAGAATGACGATCCATCCATGTTGCTGCAAGTGGCATTGTTTTATTCTTTATGGCTGAGTAGTATTCCATTGTATAAATATACCACATCTTCTTTATCCAGTCATCCGTTGAAGGACATCTGGGTTGTTCTGTGTCTTGGCTGTTGTAAATAGTGCTGCTGTGAACACTGGGGCACATGTGTCTTTTTGAATTATACTTTTCTCTGGATATATACCCAGGAGTAGGATTATTGGATCATATGGTAAGTTTGTTTTTAGTGTTTTGAGGAATCTCCGTACTGTCCTCCATAGTGACTGTACCAGTTTACCTTCCCACCAACAGTGTAGGAGGGTTCCTTTTTCTCTACATCCTCTCCAGCATTTATCGTTTATGGATTTTTTAGTGATGGCCATTCTGCCTGGTGTGAGGTGATATCTCATTCTAGTTTTGATTTGCATTTCTCTAACAATTAGTGATGTTGAGCATCTTTTCCCATGCTTGCTGGCCATTGGGATTTCTTCTTCAGAGAAAGCATCCTGTATTTTTGATACAAGCTTTTTCTTTGCTGATGTCTAGCTTCTGTGGTCCCATTTCTCAAAAGGAGACAGTCTGACTTGGGCACAGAGTTGAGATCCATTAGGCTAATCCATTTCTTAATAAGACACTGGTATTAATTTTACAGCTACTTCACCCTGTTTCAAAAACCCTGTTTACTGGTGCAAGGTTACTGGTGAACATGAATATTAGGGATTATTTCTTGTTCTGTTATAACTTGGCAATAAAAAAACATGTTTCTGAAGTTTGGAAGGTCTGATTTAGGAGAGGATAATCTTTACTTCTGGGTGGGCCTTGAAGGCAAGATTAATAGGCCTTTAAAACAGAATAGCTTGGAGTTACTGATACCATTATCTGCTGAAGGTTCCTATAGCAACGAGTGATTTGATTGCCCTGTACAATTGGTGGTTCTGTGAGTAAGTGTAAAAGGATCCTAGTAATTCTGCAGAAACTCCCTCGGAGCAATCTCATTAACCTCCCATGGAAGGAGTGCCGTTTTCTTCAAAAGCTCCGGATACAGCTCTGTGTCATCCTAGATCAATGAAAGATACATTATCCTGTCACAAATATTTTCAGTGATGTTAAGATAAAGGTTTTATAACTTTGAAAGTTTTTAAAATGATGAAGTACACATTCTATGAAGGCATCTCTTTTAACATAGTTTGTAATATTTGTTTGAATAGGAAACACAATTGCATGAGACTGTATGGAAACTGTAGGCTGGTGACATATGAAAACTAGCCTTTTGAGAGAGGCGGAAACCTGGAATCCGAACTTCCCGCAGGGGTGGGCTGTGAGCATACCACCAGGTGAGCACAGCCTTTGCTGCTGCGGGCTGGGTTACCTGACGGTAGAGCCTTCTTCATCAGCAATCTTGGATAAAGTGTGTACTATTCTCTTGAATCAGTGCTGTAGGTACAGAATTCTTTAGAAATGCAGAATTATCATTTAGGAGTATATGGTCTGAAAAGCCTGTGACAGGTGGTACATATATGTGTGACTCTCTTGCTGTCTATGCAGACGTGTCTGTTGAAATGTTGGTTCTAGTTACCTTCCTTTTGTAAACATGGTGGTGGTGTCATCTTCACTCACCCAGGTAGGGCTTGGATATGTGCATTTCAAAACAGAAACCCCACCATGCTCCTGTATGGTGACCACCACAGTAGATGCTTCACATGTTTTTTGCATCTGTGCAGTTGGATGAAAGCTTTCTCTTAACCTGGTGTTTTGGACTTTGGTGCTTAAACAACAGGCTCTTGAAGGGTGAAGCTGGCCCATTTTGACATTCCTGGCACTGGCCATGTTGTTCTGCAGATGGGACTCTGCTGCCACCTGGAGGCCTTGCATGGGGTGTGCATGTAAAGGCAGGCGGGGGATGCGGGGGAACAAAAGCTGCTCAGGCTGAGTGTCAGCTGCAGCCTTGTCCTTATTTATTCCCTGCTGAGGTCACAGGAGATTGAGTCTGTTACCCTTTGGATTTTCATCATAGAAGCTAGTGTGCATTATGAATTCAAGAGCAATGTTGTGGAGCGCAGATATTAACTTGCGTGGCAAATGCAAAGTTAGTGTTCTGCAGATTTAGGAAAACACATTGTGACTTCGTGTATGTTGACTTCTCTGCTCCATTCTTGCCTTATTCATCATCAGGAAAGCCACCTGAATGGAAACCTTACACATTTTCTAAGCACTAACATGGTTGAAAACTCCCACCATGTTGCCAGGGAGTAAGAAGAGCTTGAATGAATGCTCTTGGAGGTTTGAGGCCTCAGGTGACTTAAATTAATAGGAGTAGCCCAGTGGAGTAGGGAATGTCTAATCAATGCACCTGCTGGGAAGACTGGGGGCGCTCCCCAGAGCTGGCATCCAGCAGGGCCGTGGGGGCAGGGAAGCTGAGGGGTCTGGAGGAGGGCCTGGGCCCACAGTGTGGAATGTTAACACACATTCAGGGCCAAGGTCTCCATCTGATTGCCCTTGTTAGGAGTGCCCAGCACTTCTGCTTTCCTCCGCCCAAACCTGTTTTCGGTGGTTATTTCAACAACAGTGGCTCTTATTTACCGGCAATTGAGTACTTGGGAAGAGAACCAATCAATCAAAACAAAGAAAAATACCCCTTAATTGGGCCTTCCTGTTCATCCCAGAACATCATGACCACTGATGTTTCCAGGAAGGCCTTTATTCAGAGAGACGGTCCCTGGCGTGCCTGGGGCTTGTTAGTGCAGAGCTGGGCACCGTCTGAGGTCTGAGCCCAAGGGCCACCTCATGTTCTCGGCTCACAATGGTGCCTGTGCGAGGAAATGCCAGACCTTGTCTGGAATGAATTACGCTTTTTTGGCACATATGAAATCTGCAGTATTCGAGGAAGTAGACGTGTGGGATTTCCTCAGGTGGGTGCGAGTCACGTCCTTAGAATCTGTGCTATTGATGAGGCTTCGGTCCGGGCATAGCCTTCCTAGTGAATCAAAGGCAGTTGTTTACTTAATGATCGCTTTCTTCCTCAGGATTTCCTGTGAGAGCTCCTGGGCTTGTTTACATCTTCGTCCACACAAATGATACCAGAGCGTGGGCTGTGAGGTTCTGAGATACTCTGCTCTGCGGAGAGTTGATTTTTAAGAAGCCTAATCTAAGAACCTAGCTCCGTACAGACAGCTCTGAGCAATTCATTTATCTTTGTCATCTAGATTCTTTTCTTTTTTTCCTTTTTTTTTTTAACGGCAGTTCCTATCAGCAGATCCTGATGAGAATTATTCCTTTTGCAGAGATTAAGAATTTGGTGTTCAGCAGATCGTCACCTGGAAAGCAGGATGGAAAGGTAATGATCCCCTGCCCGTTCTCTTCCTTGTGTTTCTCTCCAGAACTGAAGTGGCAGTGAAGATCTAGTGGTAATAAATACAGGGGAGGAAAAACCCCATAGGAAAAAAAAAAAAAAGAGAACAAAAAAAACCTTGGGGATATGCCCCAAGTCAGAGTCAGAATGACTTGAAATTCAGTTTCCTGTATTGAATTTTCCATCTCTACTCTATGACCAAACATAGCTGTCTTTCTGGGTTGTAGTGGTGTATGCAAGATAATTGAATACATTTTCCAAAAATTTGTGCTTGAAGATGACATCCACAGATGTGTGCCAGCCATGGGATGGCAGGACTAAACCTGGGAGATGGTCTCTGAATACAAAACATCCTGTGGACCGCTTTTAGGTGTGTTTCAGCTTGGGACAGATCCTTCCCTTATTTCTAGGTCTTAATATTTAAATACAAGATAAGTTTTCTGTTTACATGTGGTGCTACATCTGACATGTCTTTATTGATATTTTCTGAGGCAGTTTTTTTATTTACAAAAATCAACCAACATTAGTATGACAAGTCACTTTCAAGCAACCCACCTGGCTTTATCTTTCCCAGTGTGTGAGAAGCCTGGAGACTCGACCGGATGGGTGTGAGGACCAGGACAGCCTAGATGCAGGTATGTTCCAAAACATCTCTTCCCTGCCCTCATGCAGGGGTAGTGCAGACCCAGGATACAGAGGGCAAGACGAAAAGATACTTTAAAAATAAAATCTTCCTTCTTGGGAGCCTTGTCTACTTTTTGAAACCCACAGAGGTAAATTTTCTTTGCAGCGTCAATGATAATACTGTGACTTCAGGGGTTGTGTGTCCATTTACAATCTAAACAAAACAAAGCAGAACAACTCACAATAAAGAAAGCAATCCCAGCTTTTGCTGGGCAGTTGTGCTCTGAGTCATGCTGGCCTGGGGCTTGTTGTAGGGTACCTTGGTATTCCTAACGAGCAGGTGCTACCAGCTTCAGTCTCACGTGAAGTGATGGAGGCCGCTAACTTCATCCTGCTTGGCCTCAGCATCCCGAAGCCTGCCACAGTCCCAATTTTGATACCCAGTGGGGACCCCAGGGGGCTGAGCCTATGTGATCCTACCCCCGGCCTCAGGAAGAGACCAGGTGCTTGTCTTGGGGCATGAGCCTGATGTGGGTGTCCTTTTAGAGGAACCAGGAGCCCCCGGGCGAGGGGACGGTATTCCCTTCCACTGACCCAGGGATTCTCGTCTGCTCGTAGGCGTCCTAACTCACCAGTCCCCGAGCTCAGGGCCCCTCCCCAAACCTCCCTGGGCATTTTCCAGTTCTTCAGGGCTGATCAGGGCTCCAGACTTACCTCTGACTTGGAGCCTGATGAAGCTGTGGGCTCTGAGGACATACACAGGCTGGGCTGTGAGCAGATGCCTTATCTGGGCAGCTGGATGGTCTGGGAAGACCTCTGGGGCTGATACGTGGGAAGCAGATAATCAGATTTCCCCATCAGTTTCCTCAGGCAGCTCACACCCCTGGAAAGCATGTGGGCAGAGCAGGCTTAGGAGCTGCAGGGGCTGGTGGTGGCTGAGGCAGGGCCAAGGGCTTGGGCTGATGTGAAATTGGGGAAAACCAAGACAAGGCCCCGGGGAGTTTAGCAGCGGAGGTGGGTGGGCCTCCCGAGCCTAGAGACACAGAGGGCTCCCCCAGGGGCGTTGTTGGCACTCCTGGCAGGCACACAGCACAACAGCTGCAGCAGGTGGGAACCCATGAGAATAAAGCTGGGCCAGGAGGAAGCGCCCTCAGTGTCGGCTGGCTGTGCTGCTGGCAGTTTGGCCACAAGCCAGAGGTGGTTCCTGGATCTCCTGTGTGAGCTACTGCTGAAATTGGAACAGAAGCTAGGCCGTACCAGGCATTATGCATGCCTTTCGTATTTCTGCTATGGAAGGTAAGAGTAATAATTTACTTCTGGAAGAGGGGAAGAGGAAGGAGAAATGAAAGCAGACGTGTCTGTTTGGACGACTGCCGTGGGCCATTGACGCTCCGGGAGCGGAGCTGCTGCTCACGCAGACAGGATGTCTCATCTACAGACTGCATTGTGTACTTTGAAGAATGTTTACCAAGGCAAATTGCTGATGGGGGAGGAGTGTTGGCTGTTAAAAGCATTAAATAGCAGGATGATTTTAATTTTAGGCTTTAAAAACTTGCTCCATTCTCAAACTGGTATCCTTGCTGGGTCAGAAGGCCCACGTTTTGGAAATTGTAGCAGCCTGAGTGTTGTCAGTAACATCGGTGTGTCTGAGGAGGGTGGTGATGAAAAATTTGAGAGAGACAAGTGTGTATGACGTTAACCCAGTGATTTGTGGGAAGATCCGTGAGTGATTGTCCCTTGTGCTAACATTAGATTTTTTGTTCATTTCAACTTTTTGAATTAAAAAAACTGACCTGATCTTAGCAAAGAAAATAATAGATTTTAAAAGCACCTTCTGAGACAGAGAAGGGGGCAGGAAGCTGTGAGCAGCAAAGGCAGATGGTAGGCGGGCATCTGGAGCCGGAAACAGCTTTTCCCTGTGGCCACTTCCAAACTGTTTTGTTCCTTTGTGTGCTTACGTTCTGCTCAGCCTCTAGGGAAGTGCTGGTAAGCGTGGGGCTGAGGTGCATGCCTTTGCTCACTTGCATTACTCAAAATGGCGTGACGTGAGTCGAGCAGGATCTCATAAACGATGCCAGCAGTGTGCCCGCAGAGCTTTCTGTGACGACGGACGGGCTCTGTGTCTGCACCGTTCAGACGTAGCCGGTAGCCACAGAGGTCTGTTGTGTATGTGATGTGTGCCTGAGGAGCTGCCTTTCAGTTTTACTTGTTGCACTGGACAGGGAAGAACCAGAGCCAGATTCCTTTGTATTGCTGTCGTTGGCCCAACAGTGCATCGAGATCATACTCACCGTTAGTTTATACACCGATGACGACCGCCAATTAGAGGAATGACGTCACCTGTGGGTAACAGCTGGTAAGGGCATCCGAGCCAGTGCCCTGTCCCACCTCAGCACCGGGCAGTGGTAGTAAGGTTATCTTCATGGTGAGTCCAGGAGGGCTGGCCCAGCCCTCTGTGGATCCTGTAAGGCCTGGCCTTTGGCTCAAAGGGGAAGATCCCAGTTGAAAGGCTGGGATTGGATTCTGTTGCTATTGCAGTGAGGAGTCTGCTCCTTCTCCCCAGCTGGGCGGGTAGAATAGGGGAGAGGGCAAAGCAAAGGGAAGAAGAGAAGGTCGGTGAAATGGGTCAGTATGGAAATTAAAAGGAAGAAAGGGTCTATTTGGCTCAAGGATGTGGGACTACGTATGGTGAAGAAATAGACGCTCCACAGTGGGCAGCAGTGAACGCTGTGCCAAGGAGAAGGGTGCCAGCGTCTGGCAGGAAATGTGGAAGCTTGTGGGGACTGCTGTGGGGAGCGCGGGCGTCGGCTGCCCTGCTGGGATCCCAGCTGCAGACAAAGGTGCAGAAACCGTCACTGAATCAGCAAAACTAGAAACCACCTGATTAGCTGCGGTCTTGCAGACTCTACTTTGAAAAGGTTGAATCTGAAAAATTAAAGCCACATGCCTGGTTCGAAATTAAGATTTCCAGTTAAAAGTTTAAGTTCATGCTTGGAGACTGTGAAACAAGGTGCCAGTGTCACGGGTGGATGACAGAAGCTCCTGGATGGTGACACCCCTGCTCTCTCCGCAAGTGATATTCAAGTGTGAGTGAGGTCATATGTAACAGCCCAGCATCAGTGACACTCATACTGAATCGAATTTTCCTGCACTGATTTATCAGCCATGGTCTGCATTGAGACTGAAGATTCTTTGAACTTTACTGGGCTAAAGTAGTGGATTGTATGACTGTTTGGATGGAAAATATGAAGGACTGGTAAAACTGACAAGTTACAACAAGAACTCTGTGAGCATGTTTTAACTTTCTGGTGGGGGAAGGAGGCAGGGAGGCAGAAACACTAGGGGAGTGGTGATGGGATTAGCTGGCATCGTCCTCCTTGTCTGGGAAGTCCTGGTACCGCAAAGCTCCGGGCGTGAAGCAGCGTCACCGCTGCTGTTTGGCTGGCGGGGAGTGAGTGATACTCATGTTATCATGACATAAACATGTTATTGTGCTAAATACGCCTTTTGGAAGAAATAAGTTTTCTTTTTCATAATTATGGAAGTTATAAATGCTCACAGTAGAGAAATTGTAGAAAGAGTGGAAAAGCATCCCTATGGTTCTGCTGCCCCCAAAGCGGCTGCTGTTAAATTTTGGTGCCTTTATCACTAGTAGTTCCCTGTGCATCCATTTTTTGCATAGTTGTGATCATGTCAACAGTAGAATTTTGCGTCCTGCTTTATTCATTTGACTTGATACGTCGTAAGTAAGCTCCATTTTAAAAGGTAGCTTAAAATGACGCTGTACCTTTTTCTACCAAAAATATGGATTACTCTTGTAAGAAGAAAGAGAATGTCGTTGAGTCTCTCTGCAAGTGTTTGTCAGCCAGGAAGAAACCCCAAACCCTCCTCTTTGTACTATGTATTTGATTTTACAGAGGGCCCGACTGCCAGAACCTGCTAGGACTCAGATCACAGTTATTCTTTAATACTTTGGATCACTTCGTTGCTGTTGACTGTTTATTACTGGTATGTAATGAGAGGAAACCTCTCAGTGGGTGCTGGGGCTGGTCAGGTGGGTCCTAGGGAGACAGCTGGATGTGGGAGGAAACCTGACTTGATACCAGAAGACCCACCCAGACCAATCAGGAAGGGAAGGAAGCAGAAACAGAAACCAACAGTGGGAAGTCAGGTGTTCCAGAGGGCCTCCTCGGCCGACACAGACAAGACAGAAGAAACAAAGGCCCCACGCAGGAAGCTCAGGAAAACGTCACCAAAGGGAAACTGGAAAGAAGTGATTGGAAGATCCAAAGAACAGTCCCTCCAGAATAGAATATGACGTGTGGTGCAAACTCTTTATCCAGGCTGTCCACCTGGGGTGTGTCTGGGAGAGTCCAGGCCCGTGGATTTAGGTGGTGAGCTGGGTGGCTGGGTGGAGACAGTGCGCTCAATAGTGCTAGTTTGGCAAACCACCAGTAAGCAGGGCTGATGGGGTTAGTCTTTTCTTCTTATATTAACTAAAATTTGGAAATGGAATCAATGCTACTGAGCGATAAAAGCTTATAAAACAGCAATTTTAAGTTGTTGAGAAACATTTCAAAACTTCATTTTCACAAGCAAGATCTCAAATGTGGACTCTTATGGTTTAGGACCCGTGTCCTTGGAAGCTGGCCCTCTTTTGGCTTTTCTTATTTAGTAACACCTGTGTATCTATGTCGAGATCCCGAAACTGTTACATGAAACGTGAAAGAAGGAAAAAAAGGGAGGGGGGTAACCTTAGCAGAGCTCTTACCCTTCTGAAAAATAAGTTTTCAAGCCTGATTTCTGGCAGGTCTCTCTTTATGCCCCAGGCTACAGAAGCTTCTTGTGGATTCCATTTTCTTCTCTTTTCTCTTTCTTTCTTTTTTCTTTTCTTTTCTTTTTTTACAGGGGTGAGGGGTGGGTCTTTTCTTCACCACAAACCAAAGCTTACCAGTGATGGTTTTGAAATAAATGGGCTAGGGCTGGAAAAATATACCAAGAAGACCGTTGG